CTTGACTCGAAGGCGGGCGGAGGCGACAGCTCACGCGCGACAGGGGAATGACACTCGAAGGGAGATTCTGGGGGAAAGAGGTGCTTGCTCCATTCGAAGGTGGGAGGTCACCTTTATAATACATGACAAAAGCGCCACTCCGCTGCCGTGCTCTCGGCCGGAGTGCCCATAGAGAAGAAGAGCGAGAAGCGTCGTGAAAAGAGACCAAAGGGGATTGAAGGAGTGTTCTGTAATGGGTAAAATAGTTAACGTCAGGCTTCGGGAACAACTCGCCGTTCACAACGGGCAATGACTCGGCGCTCACTCGCGCGGCGGGCCCCTATTCACTTGCGCGTTCCTGCCGTCCTCAGGTCGCGGGGTGCTCCGTCGTCGACGAGGTGCTGCCTACGTCCCGCTGTTCTGGTCGAGCCGCCGTCCGCCGTTCGCATACATAAAGAAGTTACCATCCATAGTGAACGCGTTTCTGAGCCCAAAGAGAGGAAGAAGGGAATGAGAACGAGCCGGAGAGTGAAGGAAGACGAGGGGGGAGAAGTGCAAGAGATGTCAGACGCGGCACAACCCGGGTACCGTTCCATTCCGACGGTTGGACTTCGTGACGCCGTACTGGCCGTGAGATTGATCGCCGTTGCGCCGCTTAGTCGCAGCGCGAGGACTGGTCTGCGGGAGCTCGAAAGGAATAGACGTGCGCAGGGTAAGCGTACAAATGGATGAAAAAGGTGCTTTGCGCGGCGCTCTAAGTATCCCTTCTACACCGAGTGGGGCAGACTTTTGGTCTCGACCTCGAGACCGCGCATGAAGAGTAGAGCGAGAAGAGGGGAACGATGCAGTGTAAAGAGCGGAGGAGAAAGGACTCAGCGCGTGGGCCAGGGCAAAACTGCCGACTGCGCGCGCAGAATTTCGTCGATGTTCGTTCGGTGACGCTCGCGGGTACAGGCCTTGTCCACTACATGGTCCTCCAGAACCCAGGTGACGTCGAAGCCGCCGTCGTCGTTGCTTTTGAGGCTCTCGTTCAACGTACGACCGTCGATTTGTGTACCGCAGAACCGGACTCGGGCGCTGGTGTCGGGTGCCGCTACAACGCTGACGTCCGCGGCAGCGGCGGCGGTCATCGACTGGTCATGATCACGGAAGTAGAAGAGTTTGAGCCGGGAGCCTGAGACAGATTCTTTCAGCAGGGTACCATCAAGTTCGCGCAGTGAATAGGAGCCAGAGGGATGACGCTGTACGATCACATATGGACCGGCCCAGCGCAAAGCCCCCTTGTTACCGTGTTGATTGTCCAACCAGGTCTCGTGAACGAGAACCCACGTCCCGGGCTCCAGCGGTTCATCGCGGATACGGTGAGCGTTCCGACGGTTCGCGTCGTCGGCAGCACGGCGCCGGCTCTCCTCGAGGTGTTGCACGGCGGATCCAATGTCCTCTTCACGGCGCGCGAGTTGTTTGATACGAAGCGCGAGGAGGTCCTCCGTCGATTGGACAGTATCCCAATCAAGGACGTGCCAGGTGCGGTCAGAGATATCGAAGGGGAAGAGTGCGTGTTGTCCGTAGGTGAGGAAGAATGGGGTATAACCGGTCGCTCGAGAAGTGGTGACTCGAATGGCAAGAAGGGCGGCCTCGACGTAGAGCGGCCAACGCCGGGGTTGATCGCCACAGCACCGCAGGATAGCGTCTTGGAGAGTCTTACCGTCGCGCTCGGCTATGCCGTTGCCTTGGGGATGGTAAGGCGAACTCAAGATGACAGCGACGCCGTATCTCTCGAGGAGTTCTCGGGCTGCGCCCTTAAACTCAGGCCCTCCATCACACACAAGGACAGGCACACACCCGAAGCGGCTAATGATCGACTCCCAGATGAACCTGCTCCAGACAGCGGAGGTGTTCTTGCGGGTCGCGCGTGCTTCCGGCCACTTACCCGTCGTGCAAGAAGCATGTAGTAGGAATTTATTACCGTTGAGTCCCTCGGGCATGTAGATAGTGTCGAGGGCAAAGCGTCTGAAGACAGAGGGCGAAAGAGTTATGGAGAGAGGCTCGGTAGGACGCACCTTAGAACGGTATTGACATGCATTGCAGGACCGTACGTGCCATGCGACGTCGTCGTACATGTTGGGCCAGAAGAAGCGGTCCTTCAGCGCGGTGTATGTCGCATCGCGTCCGCGGTGTCCGCACACGCCATGTGCCTCTGCGACCAGTTCTTCTCGTCGCGCCGCGTCCATGACAACGAGTCTTGGGAGTCTTGACTTAGCGAGGCGCCAGATCCGGTCGTCTTTCCACATGAAGTGTTCGGTCTTAGACAAAAATGCCCGCATCGCCTGTGAACTCTCCTGTAGTCGGACCGGACGGACTCCTCGAGCGAGGTACTCCGTGATCTCATGCCAGAACTCGGGAGAATCCTCGTCCTTCACAGCATGTACATGTGCAATGCATGGGACGTCGGTGCGCGTGAAATCGCTGGGGGCGTCCCTGAGATGAGCCCAGTTGTCGTCGCGGAGGATGTGAGCCGTATCGCCCAACGCGTGCTCGACCCGCCCTTGTGCCGATCGGACAAGGCTCACTCGGAATGTATCCACAGCCGGAGGCAAGGGACCCGTCGAGATTCGTGCCGGTCGGTATTCCTGCAGCGCTAGAGTGAGGACTTCTCCACCCAAGGTGACTACACTCAGCTTTTCTCGGCCCTCCTTCCTGACCATAAATTCCCGACCCACGTAGGTCACATCATCTTCATTTCGCAGGAAGGCCGGGTGGAAAGGAGATATGCCGCGGCGGTAGACGGCCTTGGGGACAACCTCGTACGACCAAGCCGGGAGCCCACGAACGATGTTTGAGTCCCATTTACGGACCTGCGCGTCAACGGCGCCCATCATCCGCGAGCGATCCTCAATACAGCTGGCCCGCTGCAGCTCAAAGTCCCCGAAGGAAACTATCGCAAAACTGGAATCGCCCAGTTGCAGTGGATCGCGCACACGGTCGACTCCGAGGGGCTTGCGACCATCCATAGTCTCGTATCTGTAGGCAACGGAGAGGGAAAAGTGAACCGATTCAGCAGCATCCGGGTCATGGATATAGGCAGAGCTCTGAAGGCCAAAGAACTTATCAAGAAACTCCTCGGCATCCGACTCATCCGAATCAGCCGTTGCTCCGCCACGTCGTGATAACCCATCCTGGCCTTTGCCCGATTCAGCCGGTACGTGACGAAGGTGGAAATCGAATAGCTTGGCGTAGCTAACCCATCGGGTCATCGGGGCATTCGGCAGGTCCGGCTCCTTCAGCATCTGCTCGAGGAACTTGGCATCGACCTCGAGGCAGAAAAACAGTCCCCAAACGCGATACCGAACTTCCTTCAGTGCACGGAACACCCCTAACAGCTCGACCTTGGGCTGCGAATATCTGGACTCGACGCGGTTGAAGGTGCAAGATCCAAATAGTGCCGGGTTCCGTTCGTTTCCGTGGACCTGGTACAGTATCCAGCCAGAGCCGTGCACCGACGAGTCCACCGCAAGAATGACGAGCCCGTGTTCAGACGCCTTCGAACGTGGCAATTCGATGACAGTCTTAGCGAGTTCGTATTCGATTGGCTTCAACACAGGCGCTCGGGTGACCAGCTGCTGCAAGGTTTGCATCGCCTGTCCGGCTTCCTGAGACCAGGCAAAACCTTCGTCAGTGTTACGGCAGAGAGCGGTGAGAGGCTTAGCGATAAGAGAAAATCCTTTGATCCACCGCCGGCCAACTCCCGCTACCCCCAGGAAACCGCGCACGTCAGAGACGTTCGACGGCGTTGGCCAGTTGAGGATCTTCGACACGATCCCATGTGCGAGGTGCCACCCTTCTTTTGATACAATGGACCCGACGATCTTGAGCCGAGGCGTTGCCAAGACAAGTTTCGAACCCGAGGCCGTGACTCCCGCAGTGATGAAACGTAAGAAGACGCGGTCCAGGGTGGTTGCGTACTCATAAACGAATCGACGGATGTTCGGATTGTCGTCGAGCGATGCATTGCCGTAGTCGTCTGTTCCGCCTTTGATGCCGACATCATCAATGAACGCGTCCGCGGCGGTCGGTATCTCTTCAACAAGGGCGTGCCGAATCCGTCGCTGGAACTCCTGGACAGAATTCGTACACCCTTGTGGTAGAACTGTAAGGCGCTCGGGGCCGTTGAGACAGTGGAACGTCGTGAGGTCACGCGATGACTCTGCAAGAGTACATGCGTCGAACCCAGAGAACAAGTCCGCCACGCCGTAGATGCACCGTCCCACAAATGACTCCGCGAAGTCGTCTGCTCGTGGGGGTAGGGATGCGTCTCGGATAACGTACTTATTCATTTCCTGGAGGTCGTGCACCAGTCTGAGCTTGCCGGTCGACTTTATGACAGGAAATACACGCGATCGATACGACGCGCATGAGTCCTCGTACTTGCCGGCTCGCCGCTGGTCTCGCAACAATTGCCGCACATCGTCCTCGATCGCCTTCGGGATGCGGATGGGCTCTTGCACCCATGGTATATGCTCTATAATAGGAATTTCATAATCCGGATAATATTCGCGAGAAAAGATTCCACGCTCCGCGTCATCAAAGGCAATGGCCCCTTCTCGACGGGCCAGGACCAACGTGAGCAAGTCTAATTCTTGGGAGGAAAGAAAACCTTCCGGAACGGAACTCAGGATACCATCCAGCCTGTCCTGAGTTAGCCGACCCGTAGGTGTGAAGTCCAAACGAGGAGGGGGATGATGCGGAAGAACGTCAATCTCAGGGATGATGATAGGTTTGAACCTTTGCGCCGACGGATTCGGCATGTACGTCGGCACCGGTCGTACCTTTCGGTCGACCGGCTTGTACTTGCGCGCTCCCGCGGACACTATGGGAGCATAAGATGCCAGAGCGCGGAGAGACCACAGCGTCGCGAACGGCTTCGCTGGTCGCTCCAGTGCGTATTCTGTTTCTCGAAGGAGGCGATCGAAAGACTCAGGGGGATTGAGAGAAATAGCCAAAAAACAAGAGTCAAAATCTGAAGAATAGGGGACATCACCTAATAACGTGTACATGGCCCTGCCCATGCACGGTATGTCAACGTCTAAGAGACTAAGGGCAGGGGCAGACGTCGCCGACCCGCCCTTACTCAAAAATCCTCCTCGACCTCTTCGACCTCGGCGGCCATGTCCCGCTCGATAGAGGACGTCGTCGTTAGGATCAGGCGATCTGTATTCCTCGGGTGATTAGTCTGACAAATTTCGATGGAGATAAATGCACCGGTCTTGTCTCCTGAAGGATACGCCCGAAGGTATGTCGGTCCTGCCCGATTGTATGAGACATCCGCCGAGAACCACGACAGCCACGGTTGCCCCAGAATCCCGTCGTATGCCCCGTGCTCCCTCGTGCTGACAAAGAAGTTGTGGTCGAAGTTCTTTCCACTGATCTGGACTGGAGCGTCTCGAGCACAACCGAGGAGAGCGACTGACTCACCGCCGATACCCTGAAGGGACCAGCGCCGGCCGTCCTCATCCAACGGTGTCTCGGTTTGTTCCCAGACACGACGTGTGATCAGGTTGAGTTCTGAGCCCGAATCGACCAAGAACGTCACCTTTTCTCCTCCGAAGACCCCTTTGACTAACCCCACCGTCATGGCGAAGTGTCGACGTGCACCTACTACAACAGCGCTTGCATACTTCTCGAGGATCTGCCGCAGGTCCTCTCCTTCACCGTACGTCAAGAAAGCAGTCCCGGGCTCATCAGGTGAAAGGATCTGTATTTCCTCAGCACTGTTCTCCACATCGCTCGCGCGCTCACCAGATTTGACGTTGAACTCCCGTCTGGTCTTGACCAAAGCCTGCATGATGCGCTGCAACTCTGGGGACATTCCCAGAATCTCGCGTAGGGACAATGTGATCTTCGTGTCCAACACCTGTTCGCGGATATTCTCAGTAGAGACTTGTTCCTGCACCGTGGAGGTGAACCGGTAAGGGTTCGACTTAGCTTGCTTAGGTCTCACATGACCTTCATCATCCGTTCCCTCCTCTACCCGTGCCTTCTGTCGCTGTCTTTCCCGCCAGCCTTCCTCTGTGTTTGCTGGGTGCGGTGCGCTCTGCGATTGCTCTGCGCCCTTCTTTCGCGTGAACTCGCCACTCGGGTCTGCGGGCCTATGGACGTTCGGCGCACGGAAGGACTTCTTCCACGTCGGCTGGGCCTCCTCTTCCTCGAACCGGACCTGTTTCTCAACCCCACCATCTCCTCCTGCCTTTGCCTGAGCTCTCGTCGTTGGGAAGGCGTACACTGTCTCCGATGCGACCGCTGTCGTCCGACCACCCAACACTGGCTTGCCGTCCGCGTAAAGACCGACGTTCATCCCCATGCGCGACTGATGCGGCGGAAGATCTCGTTCCTTCCCTTTCCCGGCTGAAGAGATCTCTCGTCGGACGATAGCCGCGATCCCGCCAGAGCCAGACCCTAGGGAGCGAGGTAAGAGCGTGCCGTCCTTCCGTATTAGCTGACCCATGGGACTGTAGAGGATGTGTCCGGAGTTAATGAGTTCGATCGTCTCCGGGCAGTTCCCCATGCCGATCCGATGTTCGAGGTCGACTCCTTCGACCTTCCCGCACATGTAACACGTTCGACCTTGTGGATAAGCCTGCGTCGGTACCGGAGAGTTTTCTCTGAACAGCGGACGCGAGCCGATTCCTGTCTGCACGGCTGCTTGCGATTGTGCGACCACCTGGGTCTGTACGGCCACCTGCAGTTGCTTCACTGACTCCGCTAGATCGCGTAGCTCTCTCCGGTCCCCCGTGGCCAGACGTGTCCTTCTCCCGTCCCTCGACCTCGACCGCGACTCGTCCTTCTTTCCCCGTCGCCTCCTATCTCCTTCCCGTGATCGCCCTCTCTTCGGCATCTTCCTTCCCTTGCGTTTCAGTCGGCGACCTGAGTCCGTCGATGACTCGTCGTCCGTGTCGTCAGTCATGTCCCCGTCGGACCTCTCGTCTGAATCCGATGAACTCGACGATCTATCGTCCACGTCGCTGTAATCGATATCGTCCGGGTCATAGAGCGCACGAGCCGCTGCCAGCGTATCCGCCATCGCAGCGGGGGATGACGCCAACAGCTCCTTGTTCTGTGCTGCTAAAAGTGCAGTCAACCGAGGTTTAATTGACGACCGGACCTTCCGAGGAAGACCCTTGTAGAAGAGGTAATCAGACTCAGCTTGTGTAATCTTCTTATCATCGACGAGTTTGCCAGCCTTCTTTGAGAAGCGGCGGTGGTACCGGTCAACCTGCTGACGTGACGTGATTTTCTTTTTGCTCGACTTAGAAACAAAATCCTTTAGCTTCTTAGGTGTACATCTCTTGGACGATGAGCTCGACTCATAATAAAAGAGCAACCGCTCCTTTGCAGCGTCCCAATCGGTCCCATTCAGGACATCCTCTTCCTTCGCGAGTGTCTTCTTGACCTCCGACGACGAGTACCGAAGGATTAGCGACGGCCACTGGGCCTTGCCATACCCGGCCGACTTCCCAACGTACTCTATTGTCTCCAGGAACACCTTCACACGCCTTCCGTTGAAGTACGGCGCATCTTTGCTCGACGGCAGGGGAAGTGGAAGGGCGAGGGGGACCGTCGCGAGACTGACAGACGGATTTGTATTCATGTCGCTGAGCAACGTGTTGGAAGATCGAGGGCCGCTGACTGTTCGTGCACGGAGTTGCCGACTGGAAGGGGGAACCGAGGGGGCTTTCTTCTTCCTAGGCGGCTGTTTGTCGTTCGTCGTGGGTATATGCGCCCCGTCCGTGATCATAGGGTGAACGGACGCAATGGCAGGCACCGAAACGTACGGAAAACCCAAATTTCCCCCTGCGGTGGTCACCACTTGTAGAGGTAGATTCGGCTTACGCGGGTCGACGTCGGTGCGGTAGGATGAAGGAGGGGATATGGTCGTCGAGGGAAAAGAAACTTGAACGCGCGAGCAGCGAACTCTAGTTACAGAGACGCCGCGAGGGCCAAAACCTACAACCTAATACTTAAGCTAATATACTGTTCGACTAGACTTACTGCTCGTGCTCGTGCCCGCGCTCTCGCGGGCGGTTCTATACTTGACTCGAAGGCGGGCGGAGGCGACAGCTCACGCGCGACAGGGGAATGACACTCGAAGGGAGATTCTGGGGGAAAGAGGTGCTTGCTCCATTCGAAGGTGGGAGGTCACCTTTATAATACATGACAAAAGCGCCACTCCGCTGCCGTGCTCTCGGCCGGAGTGCCCATAGAGAAGAAGAGCGAGAAGCGTCGTGAAAAGAGACCAAAGGGGATTGAAGGAGTGTTCTGTAATGGGTAAAATAGTTAACGTCAGGCTTCGGGAACAACTCGCCGTTCACAACGGGCAATGACTCGGCGCTCACTCGCGCGGCGGGCCCCTATTCACTTGCGCGTTCCTGCCGTCCTCAGGTCGCGGGGTGCTCCGTCGTCGACGAGGTGCTGCCTACGTCCCGC